TGTCTTTTCAGAGAAAATAACTCCACTGGCCACTCCTTAGATGGCTGCTAGAGGTGCTTCCTGGGGCAGTACTGCCTAGTGTGCAGCACTGCCATTCAGTGTCTCCACCCTCTGCATGCAGACACTGATCTTTCCTCATAGAGATGCATTGATTCAATTTATCTTTATGAGGAGATGCTGATTGGCCAGGGCTATGTTGGACTTGTGCTGGTTCTGCCCCTGATCTGCATAGTTGACAGTCTCAGCCAATCCTTTGGGGAAGTATTGTAATTTGCTCAGACCACCACTTCTGAGCCAGCAGCTGCAGAATTGAATACAAGTAATATTTTACTATATTTAGGGAGGGAAGAAGGGGCCAGGGTGGTGGTTTTAACAAAATAGGGTAAGAAATACATGATTGTGTTCCTGACACTATAGTGCTCCTTTAAGCAAGAGTATGTGAAGAGTAGTTAAGGTTGCCACCTTTCTTGGAAAAAAATACCAACCTTAATCATTTGTATAATTAATTAGTTATGCGTGTAAGTCACAAGGAGTGAAAATTCTGTAAAATCACCAACAAACTACTCACAGTTTGATTCTGCTGTATAGACAGATTGCTCCCAGTGTCTCCCTGTCTCCCAGTGTCTCAGTCTCGCAAGTCATCCAGTGTCTCAGTGTCCCTATGTATCACAGTGTCAGTGTCCCCATGTCACCCAGTCCCCTAGTCTCCCAGTGTCTGTGTCCCCATTTCTCCCAGTGTCCCAATGTCTCAGTGTGTCCCAATGTCACTAGGATACTGGGGACACTGAGAGACATGGGGACACTGAGAGACATGGGGACACTGAGAGACATGGGGACACAGAGACATGGGGACACAGAGACATGGGGACACTGGGAGACATGGGGACACTGAGACATTTAGGGAAACTGGGAGAAATGGGACACTGAGACACTAGGGACACAGACACTGGGAGACATGGGGACACTGAAACATTTGGGGACACTAAGACACTAGGGACACAGACATGGGAACAAAGACACTGGGAGACTAGGGGACACTGGGAGACTAGGGGACACTGGGAGACTAGGGGAAACTGGCTGGGAGACAGATACTTGGGGAGACATGGGGACATTGGGACACATGGGGACACTAGGCACACAGAGACATGGGACACAGACACTGGGAGACTTGGGGACACTGAGACACTAGGGACACTGGCTGGGGGACATAGTGTCTCCGTGTCCCAATGTCTCCCAATGTCCCTATGTCTCACAGCGTCCCCAGGTGTCTCAGCATCCCCATGTGTCCCCTAGTGTCTCAGTGTCCCCATGTTTTCCAGTGTCCCCAAGTGTCTGTGTCCCCAGGTCTCACAGTGCCTGTGTCCCCATGTGTCCTAGTGTCTCACTGTCCCCTAGTTCCCATGTGTCCCCTAGTGTCTGTGTCCCCATGTTTTGCAGTGTCCCCAAGTGTCTCAGTGTTCCCAGGTCTCCCAGTGTCTGTGTCCTAGTGTCTCAGTGTCCCCTAGTGTATGTGTCATCATGTGTCCCCTAGTGTCTGTGTCCCTTAGTGTCTCAGTGTCCCCATGTGTCCCCTAGTGTCTCAGTGTCCCCATGTGTCCCTGCTGCCTTTCCCCCCATCCCTCACTTACCTGAGCTGTAGAGCTGCTGTCTGGACTCCCTGTGCTGTATAGCTGCTCCCCCACGGACCAGTGAGTAGTAGAGAGAGGCAGGGATATTCTGTAACTTCCTATCCCTGCCTCCCTCCACACACAGTGACCCCTACTGGCCGGTGCTGGTATTGCAGAGTAATTTCCATTTATTCTGAGAAAATAACCTGCATTTGTATTGCCGGTATTACTGCAATACTGGCACGGCCAGGCAGCCTCAAAAACCATCTGTGCCAATAAAATACCAGTCAGGAGGCAAACCTAAAAGTAGTGTGTAAAAAAAAAAAAAAATATATAATTTTTTTTTTCTTTTTTTTTTTTAAATGGGCCTATTCCATGGGCCTGGGCCTGGAGCTGCAGCTCCATCAGCCCCTATGTTAATCCGGCCCTGGCTAGATCCCTTACCCTATATGCACTCTTAATCCTCTACACACATACACACACACACACAATCTTCTATACACACTCTGGGTCCTTTACACACTAGATCTCTTACACACACACACTGCACCACCTACACACACACTATATTCCTTGTAAGGAAAGACATACAACATTCTCTAAACACACCCTCTCTACAACCCCTACACACACTACGTCACCTATACACACACACTACTGCCCGTATGCACACACTCGCTACATCCCCTATAACACTATGCCCCTATACACGCACTCTCTACAGCCCCTAGCAACACATATTACACCTATTTACACAATACCACACCACACTCTACACACAGGCAATCCCACAAGCATGCGCCAAACACATGCACCATACACTTTCCTGGCCCTTTTGTCCTCTGGTATCCCACTTGTGGAGACACCAGAGACAATTTAAAAGCAAACACAGCGCAAGCATGTTATTAATTTGCTTGCGCTGCGCAGAACAAATTCAGGGCCTTTTTCTAATGCCAGAGCTCTTCAGCGGGGCTCTGCGCATTGAACCAACATGCTCACTTTGAGAGGGGGCGTGCTTGTCATTAGTGATGACAAAACACACCCTCTCTGGCCCCGCCCCCTTCTTGGGGGGCCGCTCTAATTGAAAAATGCCCGGGCCTAATTTTTTTCCCAGTCCGGCCCTGGTCTTGAAGGTCCGTGGGTCATTTTTGGGGTTTCTTGTGGTGCTGTGTAGGACTGCATTGTTCTTATAGTGTCACCTGTTAGTCATGTTGTGTGGAGGTGTCCTAGCCAGCCGGGCTTGTTTTCGGTATGAGTACGATATGGGACCGCATGTGTGTGACGTGCATTCATTTTTTTTTTGTGTGTGTTAAGGTCTATCGGTCTCGTATTGCGTCTGTGTTCGTCCTTAGAAGTGTGTTAGTGAGTATGAATGGGTTTGGTGTGGGGGGTGGGAAAGGGTGTTGGGGGGGCGGTGAGTATTTCTATCCCCTGCCGCCGCCCCAGTTCGCCGTACCCCTCCGCCTCCCGTCCGGTCTCCCGATTCCGGCTTCCCATCTCCCATCCTTTCTGGCTACTGCGTGGCTAGGCGTTGTTGTAAGGCGTTTGATGTGGTTAATCGTGTCCAGTGAAACCAGAGTTTGGTGTTTCGGGGTGTTTCGGGGTGTTTGCCTTTATAGTTTCGTATTTCCTGGTGGTTTCTACCTCTTCCACCCATCGTGTTATCGGGGGTGTGTTGGCCTGCTTCCAATAGATAGGGATGATCGCTTTGGCTGTGTTCAGTAACCGCAGGATTACGGATCTGGTATATGTCTGCGTGGTCATGCTGGTGTGATGGAGAAGAAAGGCGGCTGGGGACCGTGGGAGCATCTTGTCCGTTACTTCATGTATTATGTCTCTAATTGTGTCCCAAAAGGGGCAAAGCCGTGAACATGCCCACCAGATATGTAGGAATGTGCCTGTTTCCTCCCCGCATCTCCAGCAGGTGTCCGGTATGTCTGGGTTCCTGACGTGAAGTGCCGTCGGTGTCAGATACCATCTGGTGAGTATCTTGTAAGAGTTTTCTTGCAAGCGTGCTGAGCTTGGTGTTTTTTGTATCAGAGTGATGCTCTTGTCCCAGTCCGCTTCTGACATGGTCTCGTCAAGGTCTTCTTCCCAGTTTCTTATGTAGCCAGGTGCTAACAGGTACCTACTGGTGACCGATATTGCGTATATCTGTGAGATGGCTCGGGGTGTTTCTGTGTCCCGCGTGCAGAGGTGTTCGAATTGTGTAGTTTCCCTCAGCAGGGATGTTTTTTGCGGGATGGGAGATTTGTACTTTCGCCAGTGTGTGTGAGAAAGTGAGTGGTCTGTCTGGGAAAAGTTCAGTTAACGGGTGAATGTCGAACGGGCGCACGAGAATGTCTGCCATGTGAGGAATTCTTGGGCATCCTGCTGGGCCCAGTGTAGGGCCGAGGTCACCTGCTGGGAAGTCTGGGTTGCCTCTCAGTGGTATTAGCGGGCCTGGATCTGTCGTCAGGTATTGTTTTGTTCCCTGCCTGTGCCAGATCCTCATGGTGATGCGTTTGTGTCTGTATGCCGCCACGGAGATCCAAGGCAGTGTCCGGAGGTCGCAATTGGTGGTATCGGATTCCAGTTGGGTCCAAGGTTTTGTGCCGCTGGCTACCGACCAGCTTTGTGTAAGGTGTGCTGCGTAATAGTATTTTTCAAAATCGTGGAGAGCCAGGCCCCCTCGGAGTTTGGGTAGGATTAACTGGGCATGGGCTATGCGTGGAGGTCCGCCAGGCTGGGAGTGAGCCAAACCCCCAGATATCGCATGCGGTGGTTGCACCAGCGGTATGGGTGTTGCCTCTGAAGTGTTTGTCTGTTTGTGTGTTTGATGGTTAAGTTCAGTATCTCTGATTTTGAATAATTAATTTGGAGGTTTGAGATTCGTCCGTATTCCTCAAATTCTGTCTGTATTGCTGGTAGGGAGGTTTCTGGGTTCGTAACTACGAACAGCATGTTGTCTGTGTACGCTAGCGTTTTTTGGTGTGTGGTTCCGATTGTAAGCCTCTGGATGTCGGCATTGTGTCTGATCCTGTTTAGGAATGGCTCCAGTGTCAGAGCAAAGAGTAATGGTGAAAGTGGACAGCCTTGTCTGGTCCTGTTATGGATCCGAAACGGATCTGTCAGTGCGCCGTTGATCCGGATTCCCGCCATCGGGCAGGTGTATAGCGCCTTCACCCAAATGCCGTATTTTGGTCCTATGCCTATGGCGCGGAGGGTTTCCATCATCATGTCCCAGTCCAACCTGTCAAACGCCTTCTCCGCATCTGTGGACAGGAGAAGGGTTCGGTTCTGTTGGACGTGCGCTATGGTGTTCAGGGCCCTAATGGTGTTGTCCCTCACCTCCCTGCCTGGGATGAACCCCGTTTGGTCCGGATGGATTGTGGCAGGCAGTAGGGGCGCCAGTCATAACGCCAGAGCGCTGGCCAGGAGCTTGATGTCAGTGTTCAGCACCGATATCGAGCGGTAGCTTGGGCACAGTGTTGGTTCTTTAGCCTCCTTTAGAAGCAGAGTGATGTTCGCTGAGGTGAACTGGGCGGTTGGTGTGGCTCCCTCTTGAATGGAATTCAGGGCTTTCAGTAGTTTTGGTTTGACGTCTTGTGCGAACACCTTGTAGTTTTGAAGGGGCAGCCCGTCTGGACCCTGTGCTCTGCCCGTTTTTGCCTTCTTAATGACGTGTGCTAGTTCTTCCGGCGTGATGGGGGCCTCTAGTGCTTCTTGGTCAGTCTCCAGTATTTCTGGCATAGGTGTCGAGTCCAGGTATCTGTGTATGTCAATGAGTTTGTGCGGTTGCGGTTCTCCCAGTTTGTCTTGGCGGAGGTGGTATAGGTCTTGGTAGTAGGCATGGAACACTGTTGCGATCTGGTTTGGGAGGTGCTTAAGTTGTTGCTGTGTGTCTTTGATTTTTGGGATATATAGTTTGGTTTTACGTTGTTTCAGAAGGTTTGCCAGCAGTCTCCCACATATATCGCCGTGTTCACGTCTGTAGTGTTAATAGGAGCGTTGAATTGCTCGGTGTGTGGTGTGTGGTGAGTTGGTTTCGTTTGGCCAGGGTAGCGATGTCCCTGCTAAGCTCGAGCGTCTCCCGTACCGCCTCCTTCTTGCGGGTTGCGCATAGTGCGATGATCTGGCCCCTGATTACCGTCTTGTGTGCTTCCCAGCATGTTAGTGGCGTCACGTCCTCCATCTCATTGTCTTGGAAGTAATCTCGTATGGAGTTTCTGATCTTGTCTGTCACTATCACGTCTGAGAGGATCGATTCGATTAGTCTCCATGACATCTGCCGGAGTTTGTATAGCGGTGATTTCAACCGCATTCGGATCGGGCAATGATCCGACCAGGTCATCGCCAGGATCTCTGCTGCATTAAACAGGTTCAGGTAATCCAGGAAGTAATCCAGTCTTGTGTACGTCGAGTGTGTCGGTGTGTAATGCTAAACGACTGGAACGCAACTGCAGAAAAACTTTTAAGTACTTCAATTTATAATTTTTTTTTATTTTTTATTTTATTGAATTGCAAGAACGGTTACTGTAGCTTTAAACCCTTATAGCAGGTTGTTAGTTGCAGAAAGAAATAAGCCTCTGAAGTTTTGCATAAAGCCAAGCAGTCCCATTTAAGGATAGTGCAGAGTTTGCATGCTGAATTAGAGTTGAATTAAATGCAGCAGAAATAGCTTCAAGAGTGTTAAAAATGAGGCAGCTTATATTTGCAGCCAAACAGAGGCAATTGGATTGAAGGAAAAAAGTACTTAGCTTCAGTAGTAGGAGTTCCAGAGAACTGGAGAGTTCAAATTAAGCAGTCCCTTAGGGGTAGGAGCAGAAGTCCGTTAAACAATCCGAGGTCGAGGAGTGGAGAAGGCGGGTAGACGTTTTCAGAGCGGGTACGGTACATGGTAAAGCTTCGAATGTAATTGGGTAGCCGGTAAGAGGTTCACAGGAACTCGTTCAATAATCCAGCAACTTTGAATCTGGCGCGGTCTTCCTATGTAGCGTGAGGAGACCGCGTCAGAGAAGGGGGCGGGGCAGAGCTCCGTCAACCTGGAAGTGGCTTAATTCGGCGAAACCGGCAGGTATAACCTGACAGTACCCCCTTCCTATGGAGCACCCCCTGGGTGTACTTCACCTTGGTTTGGAGGGGTAGCGCCTGTGGAACGCAGCAACCAATCTATCTGCATGAACAACAGATGAATCTTCCCAAGTGTCTTCATCAACCCCATAACCTTTCCATCTAATAAGGTATTGCAGGGAGCCACGGCGGATTCGTGAATCTAAAATCTTTTGTATTTCGTATTCATCTTCACCGTGAACAATGATAGGTTCAGGAGAGGTCACCACTTCTCTATTGAAAGGGTCGGGAATGTGTGGTTTGAGTAAAGAGACATGGAATACCGGATGAAGTTTGACATTTGGAGGAAGTTTTAGTTTAACAACGTTGTCGTTGATTACTGCTATTACTTGAAAAGGACCAAGAAAGAGAGAGCTCAATTTTTTCGAGGGGCGGTTGGTGGCTATATTCCTTGAAGAGAGCCAGACAAGATCACCTATTTTGTAGTTAGGAGGAATTTTTCTTTTAGTGTCAAAAAACTTTTTCTGATTACTTAAAGTGAGTTGAAGATTCTCCCGTAATTTGTGAAATAGGGAGGACATAAACTCGTTCCGGGATGAAACAGTAGGATTAGATGAAGCAATGGTTTGGATGGGAAATGAAGATGGATGGAACCCATAGTTCGAGAAGAAGGGAGTCATTTTCGTACTGGTGTGAATAGAATTGTTATAAGAAAATTCAGCCATAGGTAGCCATGTGGTCCAGTCATCTTGTAGGTATGAACAATAACATCGCAGATACTGTTCCAGGCATTGATTGACCCTATCCGTTTGCCCATTAGTTTGGGGATGATAGGCGGATGAGAGTTTGCGTTGAATTTGAAGGGAGGAACACATCTCTTTCCAGAATTTGGAGGTAAACTGTGTCCCTCTATCTGAAATAATTTCTTCAAGAAGTCCATGAAGCTTTACAATATTATCAATAAAAACTTTAGATAATTCTGATGAGGAGGGCAATTTCCTTAAAGGGATGAAATGGGACATCTTAGTGAGGCGGTCCACGACGACAAGAATAGTGGTAAAATGTTGAGATGGAGGGAGATCCACTAAAAAATCCATAGAAATGGATTGCCATGGTTTTTCTGGAATGGGTAAGTTAAGTAGTAACCCAAAAGGTTGATGATGTTCAGGTTTGGACCTCTGACAGGTAGAGCAAGTCTTGACATAGGATTCAATAGTTTTATCCTGGCGGGACCACCAATAATATCGTGAAGCTAAATCAAGGGTCTTCTTAATCCCAGGATGTCCAGCTAAGGGAGAAACATGGACCATTTTAAGTAATTTATTTCTAATTATGGGAGGAATGTAAACAGGGCCGGCCTTAGGGGTGTGCGAGCTGTGCGACCGCACAGGGCGCCATGGAACAGGGGGCGCCCTGTGGCCGACACAGCTCACTCATGGCCGGGGTGCAGGGGAGCTAAAAGAGGTACCTGGCTGGAGGATTAATTGTTCTCCACCCGGGTCTATTAAAAAAAAAAAAAAAAAAATCGCGGCAGAGGGGGCGGGGTTTACCGAGCGGCGGAGGCGGGGCTTATCGAGAGGCGGAGACGGGGCTAATACCTCCCGAAGCCCCTGCTGTACAGGAAGAGGGAAAGATGCTTCCCATCAGCCAACTGCATCCACTGGAAAGAGGTAAGTGTGTGTGTGTGACTGTTTGCCTGTTTGTGTGACTGTCTGTCTGTGTGACTGCCTGCCTGTGTGCGTGTGACTGTCTGTGTGTGTGTGTGACTGTCTGTGTGACTGCCTGTCCTTGTGTGTGTGTGTGTGTGTGACTGTCTGTCTCTGTGTGTGTGTGTGACTGTCTCTGTGTGTGACTGCCTGCCTGTGTGTGACTGCCTGCCTGTGTGACTGTCTGTGTGTGTGACTGTCTGTGTGTGTGACTGCCCATGTATGTGACTGTCTGTGTGTGTGACTGCCCGTGTGTGTGACTGCCCGTGTGTGTGACTGCCCGTCTGTGTGACTGCCCGTCTGTGTGACTGTCTGTCTGTGTGTGTGACTGCCTGTATGTGACTGCCTGCCTGCCTGTGTGTGTGTGACTGTCTGCCTGTGTGTGTGACTTTCTATCTGTGTGACTGCCTGCCTGTGTGTGTATAACTGTCTATGTGTGTGTTACTGTGTGTCTGTCTGTGTGTGTGACTGCCTATGTGACTGTCTGTCTGTGTGTGTCGCTGTAGCTGTGCCATTGTTTGTGCCTGTGCCTGTATGTGTGACTGCCTTTAACTGAGTGTGTGTGTGTACATGCCTGTAACCGAGTTTAAATGTCCCCCACCCCTTCCTGTCAAGGCCGCACTTTGACTGACAGACGCTCACTCACTGACAGACGCACACTCACTGACAGACGCACACTCACTGACGACACATACACACTCACTGACGACACATACACACTCACTGACTGACACATACACACTCACTGACTGATACATATACACTCACTGACCAACACACACATTCACTCACAGACACACACACATTCACTTACAGACACACACAATTACACACTTACAGACACACACACACACACACACATTCACTTCAAAATAAACACTCACAGACACACACACAGACATTTCCACTAACACTCACAAACTAATATTTTTTACATTTATTTTAAATCCACCCAGCCTCCCTGGGAAAGCTGGAGTGGATTTCTTACCAGCAGTCCAGTGTGGCTGCTGGGCAGGCAGGCAGGGGGCGCACAGGCTGAGTAAGCAGCGCTTAGTGATGCCGGGAGCCGGACTGACGTCATATTCTGGCTCCCGGCTTCATTAAGCGGCGCAGAGGAAGCTGAGCAGGAAGAGCTCAGGTGAGTATGCTCCTTCGCTGCCTGCTGCCAGCCTTGGGGGGGCTCAAAAGTGGCCAGCCGGTCAGCTCTTGAGCCCCCCAGGATGCGAGGCAAGCAAGGGATCTGCCTGGGGGTTTGGAGGGATGCTTTTTTTTGCCGCCCCCTGCAAAGTGGCGCCCAAGGCAGATGCCTTGTTTGCCTCGTGATACACACGTCCCCGGTGCCTGTGTGTGTTACTGTATTCAGGCAACTTGGTGGGAGGTGGGGGGGGGCGCCGTGAAGACTTTTTGCACAGGGCGCCTAATTGCCTAAGGCCGGCCCTGAATGTAAATTCTATCTTTAAAATAGAATATGCCATCCTTTTTTGTTAACATAGGTGAATTGGGAAGTTCGAGATCCTTCTCATTCAAATTTTTTATGTCATCACATAGAGAAGAAATAATTCCAATTGTTTTGTTAGGAGGGTAATCATCTAAAGCAGTTTTATAAGGGATTCTAGAAAGAGCGTCTGCCTTTTTATTCCTAGTTCCAGGTCTGTATACCAATTGTAAGTTAAATCGGTTAAAAAAAAAATTCCATCTAACTTGTCTAGCTGAAAGGGTCTTATTAGTGTAGAGATATTCGAGATTTTTGTGATCTGTATAAACCACTATGGGGTGTTTTGTATCTTCAAGGAGATGACGCCAATTCTCAAAGGCAGCCTTAACACCTAACAATTCTTTTTCACCAATTGGATAATTTTTTTCAGCGGAGCTCAAGGATCGTGAAAAAAAAGCAACTGGATGGAGCGGATCCTGAGGTGTTTTGTGTTGGGAAAGCACTGCTCCGATAGCTGTATCTGATGCATCCACTTCAAG